AATGACTGGAAGCCGCTGAAGCCAGCTGGCACATGGGATGCCAGACAGCCGATGTGCAGAACACAGATACTTTGCAGCACCTCCAGGATCACTAACTCCTGCCCACAACGTAGTGACGGCAGCTTTGCACGGCAGAACAAGCAGCTCCCAACCACCTTGTGCTCGTACAGGACAGCAGGTGCCCACGGAGGAGCAGCACAAAGCAAGCAACAAGCTGCAAGCGTGTCTGTTGTACAGGCACACTTATCCTGGAATAACACGTTCACTTGAAATGCTGAGTGTCTGGGTGGTGGAGTGGTGGCAAGAAACTACACAGAGGAGATACCCCTACGCCAGGGTAAGCGTCCCCAGGGAAGGTTACCTTTATAACAACATTTACACTCACATTTTATTTCACAGCAGTCTCACTTTCCTACGCAAACCCTCAAAATATACACCGCGATAAACATTTCCATCAGAGATTAATCCTGCTATCAAACATTACCGTCTTCTTTCTACACCATCCCTTACTTTCTATGCAAGATTGGACACAGCACAATACTAAATATATTATAAAACAGCCTATATAGTCCTCATCGAAACAGTCTTGCCTCTACAGCCCACTTGCACTCCTCAGGAATCAGAGAATTATGAGAAAGGAGAATTCTTTCTAGAAAGAAGCTGCATCTTGTATAATTACATCCAGAGAAGAGGTGAAGGGACAAATCTACTCCTGTGAGACCATTTGTCCTGTTCACAAAACGATCAACAACTCTGTCATCTGCAATGCGCATCTCCACACGTGAGGCGATGGACTCCCCCCTCGGTGCCATTCAGAGGGCTACTTTCGGGACAAGACGCGGCACTAAGTTCACACCTGAACCTTTGCTCTCTGCGCGGCAGCCGAAGTCTGCCTGACCACAAGCAACAGGAACGTGAGCCTCCAAGCAGGTCTCGGCTTGGCATTTGTTCTTGCTACAGACCCAGCACACTCACGCCAGAGTAACAGAGGGACACTGCTGGTAGAGAAACAACCCTGGGCAGGAAACTTCTGGTAGTTTTGAGCAAACTTAGGAGGCAAAACAAAGCACGGAGCTCAGCCTTGAAAGCTGCCCTCCTACTGACATTTTTTCCTGAGGCTAATGAGCAAGAAGCTTTAATAACAGGCATGCAGGCACAACCTGAAGCACAATGCCTAAAATTATGGGGTTTGACTTACTTTTCTGTTATGTTTAAACATCCGTTCTTTGCTATTCCTTATAAATGCAAGTATATGCAGTTTTCTCATGACCACAGTCCTGACTTCAGCGAGGTCCTTAAGGAACCTCTGGTATGCTCTGAGGGAAGAGAGATGCAAACTGTTCCTTGAACACAGACCAAACCGAGGAGACTTCACTATCTTACTGGAATCTGCCTTAAATTTGGGATGGGCACAACAACCCTTGGGTTTTAACAGGCACTGTACCTGCTGCTTGCGTGAGGACACACTCACGTCTGCGCACGCTGTAACCTACAGAGTGCTTCCAGGTGACAAGTGGTACGATGGGAGATGATCCAAGTACAGAGACACAGTTTAGTGAATGAGGAGGTTGTTCAGACAATTACAACCATGTTGGCTCATGACTACACGGCCAAAGACAGGTGTAAAAAAATCCTGCCCCAGCCCCCAGATTTGATCTTATGACTCAAGCCTCAGAGGTTCTCGAGCA